GCACGTATCACCTGCAGTTTTTCCTTAAAAAAAAAGAATAGGAGCCAGATTTTGGTCCTGGCACTAACTCACCATCTGACCTTAGCCAAACACATTCCCCTCTCCTGGCTTCAGTATCCCCTTGTCTGGGCAGGTTTTGTCCTGAACACACAAGTGCAAAGCAGGACTCGGCTGGTCCCTGGGGTCTGACCCCAGCACCCGGAGTCTGTTCAGGGAGCACCTGGCTGTTCCCCAAGATCAAGGCAGGAGGCCCAACCATAGCCATACCTTCCTTCCCTGAGGGTCCCCACCCCAGCACCAGGGTGGATGGAACAAATTTACCCATGTGGCTCAGGGAAGAGAGGGGGGGTCCTGTGTCTTGGGTCCCCATGGCATGTGGTTGGTCCTCATTAAGACCTATAACACCTATAACAGTCAAAGAGAACCTAGGCCTTCAGAGAGCAAGAGATTTCTATGGAAAGAGAGGGGAAGGGATTCTGGAAGGACCCTCAGAATTGATCTAGACCATCTGGCCTTGAAAATAAGGATGGCATGGGCCAGGGAGAGCAGAGACAGGCTGGAGTTGTGTGGATTTACAGGGGAGGTGGGGGGTTCAAGGGGACCCTACAGAGCCCGGGGTGGGACCCTACATGGCTGCCAGTGCTGGGCTGTGCCTGAGGCCCTGGGACAGAGGCCCCTGCCATCGTGGAGGGCACAGCCTTAAGCTGGACTAAGTGGAGGCCAAGAGCACAAGGAAGGCAAAACTGAAGGTCAGGCCCAAGGGAAAATTGTGTATCTGCAAAGTGCCGTCAGGAAACCTGCCCACTTCGCTCTGCGTGTGCGCATGTGTGTTGCTGATGTTGCATTGTTCGTATCAGCAGCTGTCTTGGTACCCTGTGACTTCCTCTGTCCTACAGCCTCACCCTGTCCCACGAGCACACAGTAGGGCCTCAGAGCAGATCTGGGGACGCAGCAGAGTGCAATGGTTTGGTGTCCAACCTTTGGAGTCAGACAGACCCGCATGCAAATTTCACCCCTGCCACTCGCCCCTGGATGCGTGATCTGGACAAGCGATTTTTGTTGAGATGCTTTTATTATGGTTTGGCAGCTCCTTCTAGCCCCTTCCTCCATGTCTACACCCCACCCCAGGGTCAGCCTATTCCCTCTCCTGAGAGACCAACCGAAGGTCCTACACCTTCCTTCTCCCATTGCAGGAAGGAGCCCTGTGAAGACCTCTGATCTCCCCAGGCTGCGCCTTCTCCCTCCCTATGACCCTACCAGGGCCACCACATATAGAGATGAGGAGGGGACCACAACCCATGGCACGCTCCATGCCATGCCCTGGCACAGTGCTGCAATCCTCTGGAGGGAAGCTCTTATCCTAATTTGCTCAAACCTATCATAATGAGCTACAGAGGCCCCAGCCCAGGCCAGAGGACCTCACTGGGTGTCCTTACTCGAGACACAAAGACAGGCACAACACGCTCCCAGAAGACTTCTGGCCTCTTGAACTTGACTGGAAGCTCATTATCTGGATACACAGTCCCCGCCCAAGCCAGAGAAACCCCATCCAGGGGCACACCCCCAGGGCCAGGCGGGGCTGCCCTGGCCCACAGGAGTCACCAGTGAGAGCTGTCACAAGCACACGGAGGTGGGTCTCCAGGAACCCAAGGTCCCCAGCATCAAGCAACACTTCATGCCAATTGTCCTCCCCACTGAACTGAGGCCTCAAGGGCAGGGAATGTATATCCTTCATCTCCCAGCATCGGTCCAACTCAGCTCATTGTCAGTGTAGCCAGAAGTGTGGGCCCTGGAGCCAACCTGCGGGGGTTCCAATACCGACTCTACTACTGTTTGCTGTGTGACCCTGGGCTTGTAACCTCACCTCTCTGAACTATGGTTTCTACACCTGTAAGACACAGCTAATAACTGGACTCATCTTTTAGGATTACTGTGGAGATTAAAAGAGATAATGTATACCAAGTGCTTAACACAGGGCAGAGCACACAGTAAGTGCTCAATATAATTAGCTATTATTGGTATCACTGTAACTATTATTACATCAGCTCACATTGACTTCTGAACTTCTGATTTCACAAAATCATAGGCTCTGGTATCTGGAGGGGCCTCATGTCAAATAAGGAAGCTGCAGGCCCCCTGGGTGGCTCAGTCAGTTAAGCGTTTGACTCTTGGTTTTGGCTCAGGTCATGCATGATCTCAGGGTCGTGAGATCTAGCTCTGCGTTGGGCTCTGTGTTCAGCAGGGAGTCTGCTTGAGATTCTCTTCCTCTGCCCCTCCCACAGCTCACACATACTCTCTCTCTCTCAAATTAAAAAAAAAAAATCAAATAAGGAAGCTGAGGCTCAGAGAGGTTGAGACTGAGCAAGGTCACACAGATAGTAGGAGACTGAGATGAGTCTCAAAGGCAAACTTCCTACATCAGCGTTATTTCTTCAGTGACATCCCCTGAATCCTCTCTCATGTCCCCTCTCGTTCTGGCTTCAGATCATACATGGTTCTGTATTATCTTTTAACTTCCTCATGTGTGGGTGTACAGGAGAATGCTTTTGTGTTTGTGTGCGCATGTTTGCAGGTGCCCGTGGGTTTGAGACTTGGTGGGGCTTGGTTGCGTGTTTCTGGGCACATCCGGGTGTGTACTCTTGCATCTGTGTGGGTGACTGTGTCCATATACATTTGTGCTGACATGTAGGTGAGTGTGAGCATGTACCTGAACACACATGGGTAAGAGTGGGTGCAGGAAGCCTTGCAAGCCTTAGCCATGTGCATGTACGTGTGTGTAGCTGTTCGGGGGTGAGTTCCCTCCCAACAGGAGGGAAAGATCATTGAAGTCTGGGCTGTGTCCTCCACTTTATGGTGTCCTCCCTGTGCCTGGCACAGTGTTGCGCATGCAGCGGGCCTCAGTAAACACGGGTGGAATAGAAAATGGCATGGGGAGGATTTCCACCTCTTCAGCAGTCTCTGCTCCTGAGCTCAGCAATTATAGGAGGGGCACTCCCCCGGGGCCCCATCCAGCTGGGCCATCCCATGCCTTCCCTGAATCAGGCAGTAAGTGCAAAACAGCTGGCTGAAGCTGTCCCAGGGGGGCAAGATGAAGTGGGTGCCCGGGGACATACCCCCAGCCTGAGGGTGCTTGCTTAAGCGGCAGGAAAGGAAACAAAAGATGAAATACATCAGCCATTGGCAGCCGTAAAAGGAGCAAAATCGCTCAACGGAAAGCCGTGTGCTATCCATCATCCGGCCCTTCTCCACTTCAGCTGCCGAAGCAAGAGGGTTTTTTAATGCCCTCCAATTCATTTGCATTCGTACTGCCACTCTTTTATGGTATCAGGGGTTGCCAAGAAGATCTGAGCGGCTTTTTAAAGACGTTGATAAACCATTTCTGCCAGGGAATAAAAGTTTTTGGGGGAAAAGGGAAAAGAAAGTTTTCCAAAATAATGCATTCCATCTGCAGAGTGACGGGTAAGTGCTTCTGCAGATGTATTGGCCCCATAAAACTGACCAAGAAGTCTGGCCCAAATGTGCTCCATGCTGGTGAGATGAGCAATTCATTCATTTTGTAGCTGAGTTGAGACCTAAAACTTTGCAGAGTCACTGGGAAGAGCTTCAAAGGCAGCCTGCAACTTGTTTGTGACCAGAGCTTTGTGATGACCCCTGAGGCACATATACACTGTCAAAGTCTCTGGGCCTTACAGCTTCCTCTAAGAATTCCCACTGGCTTTGAAAATGTAGCGGTAAATGATTCAGCAGAGGGGGAGTCTCCTTCCCTTCCATGGGTCTGAGAGCCTAAGCAAGTAAATTAGATCTGTCCCATACCAATACAACACCATCCCTTACCCTCTTGCAACACTTGACTAAGCACTACCACATGACTTGGTTTTGCAGCCAAACTCTGGCTTCATGACTTCGAGCAAGCCCCTTTGCAGTCTGGGCTTCAATTTCTGCAATAGCCAAGGGAACATACTGGTCTAAATGTTTGGTCTGCTAAAGGATTCCGGTATAACCACCCCATTCATAGGCAACTGAGACTCAGAGAAGGGAAGTTACTTGTCTAAGACTACACACCTGGTAAAGGTAGGGGCAGGACTTAAACATGGGCTTCCCAATCCTTGGGTAATGGCTTTCTCCTCCTTCCTTTCCACATTTTGGATATGTGTTATACATCAGGCAGTTGTCCACTACTTCCCTGCCTTCCTGGAAGCTGGGAGTAGAACAGAGGGAGAGATGGAATAATCCCAGAGCATCCTGGTCCTACTGGGAGGATTGCAGAGTTTGCCAGAAGACCTCCCAATCGAAAGGGCATGAAGTGCCCCAACCCCACTTAATCCCAAGTGAGAACTTCCAGATTCCCTCTCAGTCTGAGCTTTATATTCATTAACAATATTCATACATGAAGACACAGTAGATGACTTCTGAATGTGTTGGTCTGACCAGCACCAGAAAAATCTCTCTACCTCCAAAACAACTGCCCTAACCCTATCATCCTGTCAAACATTCCCACCATTAGTCACACCCATGGGTCAAGGCACTGAAGATACAATTAAAACTCAAGTGACCTCTCACTGGAGGAACACAAGTGACAACTCTCTGCTTCTCCTTGGTCAGTTACCCAAAGGGTTGAAGGGGATGCTTAAGGAACAGGGGTCTCTGAAGAATGGAGAGGTTTAGAGTACCTATGATGAGTAGCTGAGTATCTAGTACTGGTGGGATGGGCAAGGCTGAAATAGGGAGGAAGGTGCCAAGACAAGGGGGGGTGGTCAGCATTCTGGCAGCAGGAACAGCTAATAACAATGAGCATCATTTATTGAGCTCTTACTATGCTCCTTCATTGATTTATTTTATTTCATTTGACCTTTATAACAACATGCTAGGAGGTAATTTCCAATCATCCTCCTTTTACAGAAAAGGAATTTTTTTCAGAAAATTTTTACAGAAAAATTTTCAGAAAATTTTTACAGAAAATGAAACTGAGACCCAGAGAGGTTAAGTAACATGCCCAAAGTCACACACAGCTAGCAAGTTACCATAGAGCCAGGATTCAAGTCCTACAATCCAACTCTAGAGCTATACTTTGCCAGTTCAGTGAACAACCATGTCATAGGATCATAAGTTGTGGCAGATATCAGCACCCTGCACACAACTCCTTACAGAAAAATGCCTGCTAGAGACCTTTAGAGACCTGTCCTATGAACTCCTCGCCTTGAGCATTTCAAAATCGAATTCATGATCCTCCCCTCCTATCTACATACTCTCATATCCCTCCTGTATTCCAAGGTAACCTAGGAGTCAAGCTGGACTCCTCCCTTTCGTGAACCTTCACATCTCACTGCTCACTGGGCCCTGCCTTGTCCATCTTCTATAAGTGCCTTCTTTGCTGAGCCTGTGAGCTCAGGCCCAGGACAGCTCATTGACTCCCATCCCCATTTTCCCTCCTCCATGCCCCAGCAACCTGCAACTCCCCACACAGGCAGTCACAGGCCCTGGTTGGGGTCTTCCACCACCCACCTCCCTGACCATGGATCACTGATCATACAAGTCTGCATAGCATCTTGGGGAGGGACCTGGGCTCTTGCACTTATTAGCTTGTCCACTTGGGCAAACAGCTTCCTTTCAATCCCTCATATGGAACCTCCCATCTGTCAGCTAAAGAGCTCAGAAGTGGGTAAGAGCTGGCTATTGCCTTTGAGGGGCTCAGAGTACAGCAGCAAGACAGATATATGATAAGATCATTAAAAAGTCTGATAAGGCTCTGGAAGGGAAGCATCTGAAACAGAAAGAGCACAAAGGAGGAAGCAATTAGGTAATTAATAATGACAGTTTCTGTTTATTGATTATCTATCATACACTAGGCATTTTACTTATATGAGTTCACCTGATCCTTGCATTGAAGCTTCCAATAAGACATAATTATCCTACTGTTTAGATAAGAAAGAATAAGTTTGGAGAAGTAAAATAATTCTCTCAAGGCTACAGCCAGAATGTCCTTGGAATTTCCAATGCTCCTCTTCTTCTTATACTCATAATACAGTCTCTTCCATGACCTCCTTCCAGTGGTGTCTGGGCCAGCCTTAGTTTCCCCATTTACCCAGGGAACAGCATGAGGTAATAATCTCTCTGTGGCCTCTATTTTCTCATCTGTAAAATGGGGATAATAATAAAACCCATCACAAAAGGTTGTGCTAAGAATCTAAAGAAGCTAATATATGAAAAGCACTTAGAGCAGTGCCTAGCACAGAGTCTGGGCTACATGGTGATATATTCTTCTTACTAATGTTATTTTTATTGTTATTTCCAAGGCCACCATCTTGCCTTGAGCCTCTGGATCACCTTGGGCTCACTGAGGAGCCCATCATCCATGTTTATCAAATGATACAGATAAGAGGGCTGTCTAGGTGTCTCAGTCAGTTGAGCACCCAACTCTTGATTTTGGCTCAGGTCATGACCTCAGGGTCATGAGATCGAGCCCCATGTTGGGCTCCTCGCTCAGCACCAGTCTGCTTCAGATTCTCTCTCCCTCTCCCATTGCCCCTCCCCCCATTCTCTCTCTCTCTAAAATAAATAAATAAATCTTTTGTTAAAAAAATACAGATGAGAGTCACCTGCACTGACTGAGCTCTAAGTGAAAGCTTCCATCCCCCTCCCACCCAACAAGCTCCTCCCCAAACCACGATGAGCAAGCTTCTCCCTCTCCCCCAATTCCACCACCAGCCCCCTCACTTCCCCAGCTTCATGAACCAAAAAAAAAAAAAAGTGCGGGGAGGAGCCAGGAGGGCCTGAGAGAGGCCACTGGAGAAAGGGAAAAGGCTGTTTTTCTCCAGGGGTCTAAATTTAGTGGTAAAAGGTATGCTTGCAGTTCATGATCAAAAACCCTTCTGCCTCCAGGAGCGCTGGTGCTGGCAGCTGCATCTATGACCAGCCAAAAGACTCATGTCAGAAACTGCCCTTTCCTGGTGAATTTCAATGAGATGCCCTTTCTGCGAGGAGGAAAGCCATCATTTAAAAGACAAAGGCTGCTTTCCCTTGGCTAGATAGGGTGATAGAGCAAATGCTGCCTTGGGGCACAGGAAGAGAAGGCTGGGGGTCTCCGCCCACTGCAAGTCACACGCAGTGCATGTAAACAAGGACCCTGCTCTGTGTCTTGTCTTGGGTTGGATGCCAGCACACAGGGGTCTATCTGACACTATCCCACATGTAAACAAGCAATTACTAGACAGAGTAAAATGTACCAGGACAGAGATATGCATAGCGAGCTCAGTAGGGAGGGGGCAATGGAAACATAAACCCAGCGTGGGACAGAGAGGGTTTCACGGAGCAGACATGCAGCATGCATGAATACATGCATCAATACATACAGCATTTGAGAAGGGTCTTGAAAGAAGAGCAAGAGTTCAGCAGGCAGAGAAAAGGGCTGGGGTGGGCATGGGGAAGCATTCCAAACAGAAAGAACAGCATGAGCTAGGATGAGGATGTTCGCGAAAGCCCAGAGTATCAAAATAAGATGCCTTGTAAGAATTTGTCAGAGCACCAGGGAATGGTGAGGAGTGAAACTGGAAAAGAAGCTGGAGCCAGGCTGTAAATGGCTGTATACGTAATCGTTAAAAATGCGGATTTCCAAAAAAAAAAGGAGGGGGAAGGGGGCGCCTGGCTGGTTCAGTCAGTAGAGCATGCAACTCTTGATCTCAGGGTCATGAAGTCAAGCCCCACACTGGGCATGGAGCCTACTTTAAAAGAAAACTGTGTATTTCCTCTTTTAAAGAACTGAAGGATTTCAAAAAGGAGACGATATGATGTGTGTATGCTTGAAGAGGCATGGAGCATGGATTACAGGAGTTGTAAGAATGTGGACATTCTTGACACTTCTAGAGAGGTAATGAAATGTTCAACCTGAGGTTTCTGTCATGGGGCTGGGGTGGGCGGCGGGGAACAAAGGATGCTGAACAACTCAACAGCAAAAAAACAAATAATCCCATTAAAAATGGGCAGAAGATCTAAATAGACATTTTTCCAAAGAAGACATACAGATGGCCAACAGACACATGAAAAGATGCCCAACATCATTCATCATCAGGGAAATGTAAGTCAAAACCTCTGTGAGATACCACCTCACACTTGGCTATCACTAAAAAGACAAGAAATAATAAGTGTTGGTGAGAAAGTAGAGAAAAGGGAACCCTCATGCCCTGTTGGGGGGGATGCAAACTGGTGCGACCATTACGGAAAACAGTATGGAGGTTCCTCAAAAAAATTAAAAATAAAACTACCATATGATCCAGTAATTCCACTTTTGGGTATTTATACAAAGAAAATGAAAACACTTAACTCAGAGAGATACACACACTCCTAGGTTCACCGCAGCATTTTTTACAACAGCCAAGATATGGAAGCAACCTAAGTGTCCACTGATGAATGAACGGACAAAGAAATTATGGTACATATGCACAGTGGAATGTTACTCAGCTATAAAAAGCAATGAAATCTTGTCATTTGCAACAACCTGGATGGAAATAGAGGGCATTATGCTAAGTGAAATAAGTCAGAGAAAGACAAATATTGTATTATCTCACCTATATGTGGAATCTAAAAATCAAAAACAAAACAAAAACCAAGCTCATAGAGACAGAGAACAGATTGGTGGTTGCCAGAGGCAGGGGGTAGAGGGGGTCAAAAAGAAAAAAAAAATGCAGTTGATATAAAATGGACATAGAAATTTTTATATTTTTTTCATATAAACAGACAAACAAAAGGCTAGCTTTTGACTGCGGGACATGAAGTTGATAGTCAACCATTAATAAAACATATAAATTTTCATCCTTACTGATTTTTCTTAAAAGATTTTATTTATTTGACAGAGAGAGAGATAACAAGAGCAGGAACATAAGCAGAAGGAGTGGGAGAGGGAGAAGCAGGCTTCCCGCCAAGCAGGGAGCCCCGATGCGGGACTCGATCCCAGGACCCTGAGATCATGACCTGAGCTGAAGGTAGATGCTTAACAACTGAGACACCCAGGCGCCCCACCCTTACTGAGTTTTTTTAAATGCCTGAAGACATTTTAGCTGGGGAATGGGTAAATTAATTCAGGGGAATACAGAAAGAGACTCTGGGTCAGCCCCAGGGTAGGTTGGCCAACCAGATGATGATGTCTGAGGATTCTCCAAGACCAACAGAGGCCTGGAGCTCTAAACCAGCTTGGATGTCGGGTCTGAGACCCTAGACTGGCCAGAGGTGGGCCTAGAGACCAAGTGCCCAGCCTGTATTCCCCCCCACCCCCCACATCCAGGACGGTAAATACATTACATCCTACATGCCAACTCTGATGGATTGCTGGTATCTACCAAAATTGTTATTTGAAAAGATTATAAGACCATATCTGGGCCCAATGGGAAAGAAAACTCTGATTGATTAGCAACATCTGTCATGGACACTGGGTCGGGAGAAGTCGTACATGTATCTCATACTTGTTTTCCCTGCACTACACACTTAGATTTCCTGCTGAGAATTATTGAGATGAGCCTTAGGTGCCTCACTCAAGAGTAGTGGGTGCGCAAGGGAGGGCGCAGTTATCATTGGGAGCCATGAGGCTGACCACCTGTGTTCTTTGGACCTCCAGCTAGTGGAACCTAGAGGAGTACCAGGTACCTCCATCTCTAGGGCTGCTCTCTGGCATTCTGAATGGCATCTTAGAAACCCCTCCTGGGAAAACCATGGACTCCCCCAGATGCTGACCAGCTGCTGGAACAGGAATAATACCTAAGCATTCAGAGGTCATGTCAAAAGGCAGTACAAGCCATAAAGACTAAGAAAGGGCATCTTTCAGGTTAGAAGTTCTTCACCTGGGACCCACAGATGAGCTACAGGAGGGGTATAAACCCCTTGAGATTACACGCAAATTATTCAAAGTATGTGCATTTTTCTCAAAGGAGGCCTTTAGTGTTTGTCAATCTCTCAAAGACAGCCATGGCCAAAAAAGGCTTCACTCACTGCTCAAGATGAAAGAGAGTAATGAGATACAAGTGAATTCTGCTGGGGTGAGGAAGATGAAGCACCCACATCTCAATAGGAAGTGAACTTCTGGGCGTATCACCTGTCTACTCAGCCATTATAATCCACTTAGCTTTAAAAAGTATCTTCCAAATCTGAGACGCAAATCTGGGGCTACTTTTGAGTATTGGGTAGCTCAGAAATCCAGGGAGGCATTTTTTCCTCAAAAAATGTTCTTAATTTTTGTCAGTCTCTCAAAGAGATCCATGCTCCCCAAAAGGCTTCGACCATTGCTGAAGATGAAGGAAAATAATGCTATCTATAATCAAATAAGCAGGGAAGGTCTGGGGGGGGGCAGTAAAGGCAAAAAAAACCTCTTACTTCATTGTCCTGGTTGCACAGGTAGAATTGGCCACACCTGACACGCTGTCCACCTCAGCAAATTGGTAGGTTAGGAAGACGCTTTGGACATTACATTGGGAATTTGGTAGAAGCCCCCAGCAACTATTAGGCTTAGGAAATTGCATCACATGGGGGTCGAGGGTCTGGGTCAGGGCTGGGAAATGGGACACAGGGACCTGGGTTGACAGCCCTGGCTTATGAGCTGTGACACATAGAGCTGTGTCCCTTTTGTCCAGAGCACTGATGTCCACTTGTAAATACCCATGAGTTGGTATGTTAATATGTGATCTCTCCATCTGCTCCCCAAGTCTGCCAGCTCTGGGACAGCAAGGACTGTGTATGGTTTTGCTCCCACTGTTACCTGGCACAATGGTGGGCACATAGCAGATGTATTCAATAAATATTTGCTGAATGAAACGGTGCATGGATGGATGGAAGGATGGGTAGACGGGCAGGGTAAGGTGGTTCATCTGAGTGGCAGAACCTAGAGGAAAAACCAAATCCAGTGCCTCACTGGTTTGGCACGCAGTATAGTAGATCAAAGAACAGACTCTGGAGGTAGAATGCCAAGTTTGGGTCTCAGCCCTGCCATTCACTATGTGTATGACCTTGGGCAAAATATTTAACCTCTCTGTGCCTCAGTTTCCTCACCTGTAAAATAGGGATAATAACAGTTCCCACCTCGTAGAGTTACTATGAAGATTGAGTTAATATATCTAATATTAAGAATAGTACCTGACACATAATAAACACTAGGCAGTAAAATTTTAAGAAGCTACCTTGATATGGGGAATTGAGGTATAAGGCAAAGGAATGCAGAGGATAACAAAGGATTGAAAGCAAAAGTGGTCTATACTCCAGCACTCAGGCTACTGAACTCAGGCTCCTGCTGCCCCCTCCCCAACTCCTGCAAGAACCACATACACTGAGTCTGCCACAGTGACCCCCAGAGACAGCCCCCAAGGCTCTTCTTCGGAAGTGATTATGTACACCCTCTGTGGATTCTTCAGGTCTGGGACACTCAGGTATCTCCAGTCCTCCTGAGTTTGATGGTGAGAGGGAAGTGGCTAGAGGAATGGGAAAGGACACCAGGCTTTATATGGACCATCCCACGCTCTGCTTCTTCTGGCCATGTCCCCCCAAAACACTAAGCACCAGATGCCTCCCTCCCCATCATCATAAATAGCAATGATAGTAACGACCACTCAGAATACAGACTGTCTTACCCACCCCCTCTGCTTGTCTGGTCAACAGTAGAACAAGCAATGCACCTACGGAAGGAAAAATGACTCTGATCTACAGGTCACATTCAGTGTAAGCATATCCACAGTAACTTCTACCCCCAGCCAAATGATGTTGAAATCCATTACAAATTAAAGACAGCAGGTGTCCTTGAAAATGTTCGTGTCAACTGCCATTTTGTTTCAAGGGGGCAGAGTGAAGACATGATCATCACAGTGGCAATCCTGATCCTTTTTGCTAGTCCCCAGATGTGCCAAAATAGATCCATTTCTTCTAAATTTATCAAAGTGTTGACAGACCAAAAAAATGCCAAGCTGTCAAATTGAAACAGAGACCTCATTTCAGTTTTCAAAATAAATGCACCCAAAGAAGTTCTACCGTGGAAACTGTGCTGGACTTCGAACCAAAGACCGAGATTCCAGTTCTTGGTGTGGTCCTCACTGGCCGGGTGGGTTTGAGAAGACACTTCACGCCTCTGGGCCTCAGAAACCTCATCTGCAACAAGAGGAATTTGGACTAGAGATATTATGCTGAGAAAAATGATAAAGTTTTATACTCCTCACTTTTCCCCCATGCAAATTCTCTGAGTCATCCTCTCCTGCCCTTCTTCCCTCCAAACGCTGATTGGCCCTTCTTCCTCCAGCAATTTGTCATAAATAAGTGAACAGGGCAGGGTGGGGCAAGGGGAGGGACTGCCTGCGGACCCTGAGAGCTCCTTAGTGGGAACAGCTTCACTGTGACTTCTGATCTTCAGCTCTGATTCACTCAAGCAGTCACAGGCAAAAGGAGAGGAAAATGAGGAGCTGGGGAGAAGTGTTGGTCCAGGGCATCAGGAACTGGAGGGGGTGGGCAGCGTGACTGGCTGAGAGGCAGAGTCCCTCCAACTCAGAGCACACTGAGTCCCTGGCCAGGCCTGAGCACTAGACTAAAAATGTGGGGACCCCAGAAGATGACAAGGATCACCCACCAATAAAGTGGGCCCTTGAAGAACGTGAACCCCTTCAGAAAACCTCCTAGGGAGGTCAAAGTCACGGGCGTCCCTCTGAAAACAAGCTTGAGAGCTGTTGGAGGCCTTCTCAGAGACCAAGCTCAGAAAGGGGTTTGCAAAGGCCCTTTAGCAACCAGAGAGCTGGGGCGGTGGCGGGGGGGATGGGGGGGGACGGTTAAATGAGTCTGGGGATAAAAGTGTGCAGTGGGCCCAACACCAGAATGCCTATAGAGTTGTCCATGGTGCTGGTGGCCTTGAGGCACTCAGCCCACACTGCGTCCTGTCTGACCTCAGCCAACTCCAGAGCCAGATGCCTGACCACGCCTGCCTCCAGCCTGCCCCAGTTCATGACTGTCGGCTGCCTGCCCAGAACCAAGCAGCTACTTCATTACCTGCTGCCTGTGCTTGTGGTCTGTTCACCCCAGCCTCTCCCAACCTGGCAGCCCCATTCCCACTCAGTTCCTGAGAACAGAACTGTGAGTGATAAATAGGTCACAGGGAGAGGCACTGGGACTTGGCCGAGCACCCAGAAAACCGGGCTACAAGATCCGAAGCAGGAGAAGACCCACCCCTCCCCACACCCCATTCCTACCAGAGTGCCCTAAACTGAGGGAAGAGCAAGGCTTCCCTGACAATGGAAACCTATTCCCAGACATCAGCCGGCTGAGCAGGAGCCCAGCCCAAGTGCACATTCCCCGGCAGTCTCCTGCGGCTCCAGCCCACCCCACCGCACTCTGCCCCACAAATGTACCGTCTTTAGGGAGTTCAGAAAAGCTCTGTCACCAGCAGCTCGCAGGTGGCCAACTGCAGCACCGTGGGTCACAGTTAGGACAGATGCATACCCCTCCCCTTTCCTATGTGCCAGTGCATGACCTTGAGCAAGTTGCCGAATTTCTTCACGCCGCAGTGTTCCTATCAGGGTGCCACAAGGCCATCATGAGATCATGGGCATGAAAGTGGGGTAAACTACAGAACGTGGCTCAAGGGGCAGTTACTGTTACTATCCGAATCCTATCTGGGGCTCCACATTACTCTGAGCCTGGTCAAGGAGGATTCTGGAAGCTAGTTGGTAAAGGAAAGCATGTATTTCCATCTATCAGGAGCTTTCACACATCCTGTCATAATTAATCCTGTGAGGCAGACAGTACTGTTGCCATTCTACAGATGAGCTTAAACTCACCGCCCAAGGTCATGTGGCTCAGGGGCTGCCGAGTATTTGAACCCAGTTTTGTGTGGCTCCAAAGCTTGTTCATTTTAAAGATTTTATTTAGGGGCGCCTGGGAGGCTCAGTTGGTTAAGTGACTGCCTTCGGCTCAGGTCATGATCCTGGAGTCCCTGGATCGAGTCCCGCATCGGGCTCCCTGCTCGGCAGGAAGTCTGCTTCTCCATCTGACCCTCCCCCCTCTCATGTGCTCGCTCTCTCTCATTCTCTCTCTCTCAAATAAATAAATAAAATCTTTAAAAAAATAAATAAATAAAAATAAAGATTTTATTTATTTATTTATTTATTTGAGAGAGAGAGAAAGAGGGAACACAAGCAGGGGGAGAGGTGGAGGGAGAAGCAGACTCTCCGCTGAGCAGGGAGCCCGATGTGGGGCTCGATCCCAGGACCCTGGGTTCATGACCTGAGCCGAAGGCAGACGCTCAATGACTGAGCCCCCCAGGCTCCCCCAAAGTCTGTGCATTTTCACCACCACTGTCAACTACATCCCTCTTGCCTAGTTACCACCACCCCTTCCAACAGGACTAGATCTTGTTTCCAGAAACCCAGAGAAGCAACCCCATCTCAAAGGAAGGCCTCTCATGTCACCTGCTCCTCAGATCAGATCTCTGGTCTGAGTTTCTGTTCCGAGCCAGGGCTCACTCCCAGTTTGCCAAACTGTCTGGAACTTGGTTTTGGACTAGGACCCCCTGGAAGACCCTGCCTCTTCACTCAACCCCCCTCCCCTCTACCCAGGACCCCAGCCACTTCCTCTTCCCAAGCAGGGGCACTGGAGATACAGAATGTGCCCTTAGGCCAAAAGTTCTCAAACATTATGGTGCACAGGAATTACTTGGGGATTGCAAAGAAAATGCACCGTCATCATCTGCAGAGACTCTGGAGCAGCAGATCTAGAAGGGGCCCAGAAATCTGAATGTGTAACAAGGTGATTCCAGTGTCCCAACTGCCCTGGACCCACAGTCCTGTGATTTGTCCTCTGGGCTGGAAGGTCAAATTGATTGGAAATCTCAAATATTACATTTCTAAGGGGCTCTGAGGTTGTGTAATGTTCCTTTTCTTCCCCCAACTTTACAGATGTGAAAATCAAGGCCTAAAGAGAAAAGGTTATTCCTTTCAGATCAGACCACTGGTTATTCGAGCCTGGACTGGGACCCAGGGCTGCTGCACGGGGCCCACGAGGTCCAGAGAGCCGGGGCAGGGACGGTGGGAGGTGAGGCCACGGCAGCCCCACAGCCCTTGGGTCCCTTAGTTGTGGGACCGCAGGACCACTCAGCAGGGACTGGGAGCCTTTCACACTGATTTATGAGGGGGCCTCCACTGGAAGACTCCTGGGTGGGGATGCCATTTGTTACTTCCCCAAGGAAGGCTCCAAAATGATGATCACAGCACATGAGCCCCGAGTGTGCACGCATGTACACACACACATAACTCCCAGGCCATCTGGTACAACCACCCCTGGGACTCCCGGGCCCAGGTATCAGGTGTAGGGGCCGTGACAAGAGGTGGCACGGAGCTGGATTCTTTTGGCCAGCAGGAGACGTGTGCACAGTGCACTGAGTTAGAGTTGGAAGAACACCCAAGGGTGCCCACACCAAGATCCAGGGACGTGCGAACTCCCGGGAGCTGCTCGGCTCATTGGGTCAAGGGTCTGCAGCAGCACTAGCCAACAGAGCTTCTCATGATGATGGAAATCTCAAATATTACATTTCCAAGGGGCTCTGAGGTTGTGTAATGTTCCTTTGGAAAGGGTACAGAAATGACACAGGACATCTGCTCTGTCCACTACTCCAGCCACTAGCTGCATGTGGCTAGTGAACACTTGAACATAGCTAATGAGACTGAGAAACTAATTTTCTTCTAATAAATACTAAAATGAGTAAAGATATTATGTCATTTAAGTCTCACAAGAGGGGGTGCCCGGGTGGCTCAGTTGTAAGCGTCTGACTTTCGCTCAGGTCTTGATCTCAGGGTCCTGGGATGGAGCCCCGTGTTGGGCTCAGCGGAGAGTCTGCTTGTCCTGCTCCCTCAGCCCCTCCCCCTGCTCATGCTCTCTCTCTCTCTCAAACGAATAAATAAAATCTTTATTTAAAAAAGTAAATAAATCTCACAAGAGACTTCTGGGTAGGGACTATTATTTTGTCCATTTATAGAATGAAGAAGCTGAGGCACAGAGGTCAAGTAACTTGTCCAAGGTCGCACAGCTAGAAGGTAGTGGGGGGGAAAACGGAGAGAACCAAAGCCAGGCAGTATGGATCCAGAGTCTCTTCCAAAGCCCTGCAGTAAGCCCTGCCCTGCTGACATGCTGCATTCCTGCCTCACTGCCCGTGGCACACACACACACACACACACACACGTGCACACACACCCAGGGTCTGAGCAAGAAGCCTGAGCAAGCACGAGGCTGAGAGCTGAATCGGAGCTCTGCTCTGGAGGGGGACGCTCACTCGGAGGAAGAGAGCCCCGCCCATACCTTGGCAGGGCCCTGGTCTAATGGGCAAAACACCAGGCCAGCAGCAGCCCTGGGAGCCTTGGCTCAGGGAGAGAGACACAGGTCCCTGAATGACGCAGTGACAGTCTGACGGGGGAAGGCGGGTCCCTGCCCTGGAGCACCTGCCCATCAGACAGAAGAGGCAGGGAAACCGCACAGGTTCCCGCTGGGGGTGTCACAAACAAGGGCAGGTGTCTGTTGAACCGTCAGCGCCAACCTCCCCCCCCAACCCCACTGCCTCCATGTCAGTGGATCCCAAGGAAGTGTCTGCAGCTCCCAGGAGCCCCAAGATAAGCCCTTCCTGAGCCTCTCTGAAAGTGAAGGTCGGGAGGAAGTATGGCATCGCAACGATCATTTCTCCCGCACTCTGGGGTAGGGGAGCCCTGCTACAGCTAATTAGGAAAATGCATTAAGAACACGACTTACAAATGGCCCCACGGTTCCCCACATCTCATTTGCATTGAGCTGTTGTTACCTTATTGATTATATTAAATTAGGAGATAGTCACACCGTCTGCAATGCAACAATTATCATCATCAAACCAATTAGTATCAAATGGGATGTGGTCCCCGTCGCTCCAGCTTGGCACTCAGCTATTTCCAACACCGTTAGCCGGCCTTATGAAATAATTGTGTTTCTATTGAAACAGTGGCAATCAGCAGAAATCTTCCCAAGAGACCCTCCTCTCTCTCTCGGTGGCTCCATGTCGGGATATCTTGTCACGCAAACACAAGCAAAAGGATACAACTGGTATCTTTGGTAGCAAAAGTCTCAAGGGGGACAAGGGGGATGCTTGA